ACGTACATAAACCAAAGAAATAAAAGTAGTTACTTTATGTTCCAAGTTAACGGTTACCACGTACATAAACCAAAGAAAATAAAAGTTAGTTACTTTATGCTCCAAGTCAACGGTTCCACGTAAATAAGCCAAAAAATAAAAATAAAAAGTTAGTTACTTTATGTTCCAAGTCAACGGTTCCACGTACATAAACCAAAGAAAATAAAAAGTTAGTTACTTTATGTTCCAAGTCAACGGTTCCACGTACATAAACCAAAGAAAATAAAAATAAAATATTAGTTATTCCATGTTCAAAGTCAAAGGTTCCACGTAAATATACCAAAGAAAATGAAAGGCTAGTTACTTTATGTTTCAAGTCAACGTTTCCACATGAATAAACCAAAGAAGTTACAAGTAGTCATGGAGTACAAAGTTCTTGTAACTTAATGATAAATTACTTTTATGTTATCTTTACTAGTATCAAGGTATAAAAATATAACACGCTTTAATCTCTACATAAAGAAGAAAGGAAAATGTTAATATGTGACAATTGAATAGTTTACATATGTTGAAAAAAACAACAACAACATTAATTCACACCTTTTCACTCGAAGTTACCTTTGTCTTTGAAATTATCGTCTTTTTCACAAAACTTCGTTCAATTCCATTGAACCCACACCATATATACATTTAGGGTAAATAAATGAATCACCCCAATCACCAACTACATTGGACAAAGTAATCGTTTTATTATTTTTACTGTTCACTGTAATTTTAAGAAACGAATTTTATCTGAGTTTGGAAATATTTGTGCCAACATAGAGCATTAAGAACAAAAAAAAAAATTATAAGGCAGAACAAACGAAGTACAAACCCCTTCTATTAGCTCGCGAATCATGCCGTTCCATTCTCCCCATTCGTTTTTCTTCCCGTAAGTGCGATCGGCCACTTCTCGAAATACGTACTTAAATCCGAGGACCTTCGCAATCTCTTCGATCAGATCAACACAGTAACCTTCGTAGCGATTATTATCTTTTAAAGTGGTATCTTCTTTCAGTGATATGTAAGGAGGATTCTAGAAGACGATAAAAGTCAAAATTGTTTAGGCGTATAAAAAAAGTTACGTTTTATTTACCGTCATAGTATGATCTATATATTTTATTTTAAACATTATATGAAATGTTCACAGAAATGATTCTACACAGTGTTGTTCCATTAAATGTTATATTAAGATACATTTTCTTAAAGCAAGAACAAGATTTCTGACAAGATCAGTAAACTGAAATATATATATGTCAATCTTCTTGATAAAAGAGTTATGTCAATCTTCAGTACTTTTAACTGAATGTGATTAGATAATGAATGATCTTTATATCTGACTCATGATAGGTTTAACCGCTTCAGACAGGTCGATGATATAAACATTTATCTGAATGTAATTAGCTAATGACCATTATATCTGACTCGTGATAGGTTTAACCGCTTCAGACAGGTCGATGATATAAACATTTATCTGAATGTAATTAGCTAATGACCATTATACCCGACTCATGATAGGTTTAACCACTTCAGACAGGTGGATGATATAAACTTTTATCTGAATGTAATTAGCTAATGACAATTATATCCGACTCATGATAGGTTTAACCGCTTCAGACAGGTGGATGATATAAACTTTTTAACTGAATGAGAGATTAGACGAGGTGCTTGTTTGACCGAAAATTCTATAAAGTAACACGATCTTATTGTGGTGCTTTTTAAGTTGGAATGTCTATGATTTTCTTAAATATCAACCATAGCCTTCTATAATTTTAATTTTAAGATACTGAAAATTCAGTTTATATCTTTAGATTTTAATTGTCTTTAGAAGTTCACTATTCGCCACTAGTAACCAGTATCTCAAGAATGTCATACATGCTTAGTTGCTGTTTAACTAAACTGTCTATATTTATTGGGCCATAGTGACCTAAATACTGATCTTTTCAACTAGTTGGCCCCATCTTTACCGTTAACTTTTAAAAGATTCAGACTAGCACGATTAAGTGGAGTGATACATGTTTTTGTGTACCATGTTTTGTGGTGATTTGTATTTGTAGAACTTAGATATGTACTTGCTGTGATTTCGAGTAAAATTCAATATACATATATATATAAACAATCCCTTTGACAAAATACTGTTTACTTTCTCCGTGAATCCCGACGTCTAAATGCTTATTTCACTTTGACTTCATCATTACCCGCGTTCATTGGTTATCTGCTTACTTAGTGATCAAAATTTCAAACTCTTGTTATGTATGTATAAAGGTGATTTACAGCTTGCAAACAGTGTTATCTAAATTTTAAATTTTAACTTGGTTTTATAGAACAACTCACTATTATAGTTGTTATCATTAAAGTCTTGTTTTTTAATGAAGCTTTAACCTCCTCGAAAGCTTTGGTGGAGTTTCCAGTAATTCTTATCCCTACGTTGAGGTTCCAGTCTCCAGCCTAAATGAACAACGAGACAAAAAAGCAGCCAGGCTACCATAAATAAATACATAATGAATCATAAAGCAGCCAGGCTACCATAAATAAATACATAATGAATCAAAAAGCACCCAAACTCCCATAAATAAATACACAATGAATCAGAAAGCACCCAAACTCCCATAAATAAATACACAATGAATCATTTCGCTGTTAATCCAAAATTACTATATAAAATTTTACCACGCTCATTTACTAAGCATGGCCAGGTGGTTAAGACGCTCGACTCGCAATCTGCGGGGTCGCGGGTTCGCACTCCCCCGTCCCACCAAACATGCCTCGCCCTTTCAGCCGTGGGGGCTTATATGGTAACGTCAACTGGTACCTATTCGTT